CTCCTGTAAAGGAGTCTAAGGTTCCGATAAGGGCTAACCAGCCATGGGTAGAGGGGAGAGCCTGGCCGGGTGGGCTTTCTTCATCCTGAGCACTACTCAGCCTCCCCCCTCAGTGCAGGCCAGCCGGGGTAGTAGTGGCCCACACCCAGCTCCACCCCACGGGGACATGGTCCTCCTAGCGTGGCCAAGTAAAGGCACAGGCTAAGAAACAGGAGAGTGGAATTCTCTGTGATTTGCAATAGGTTTGGGGCCCTTCTGACTGTTCCTTGGAAAGACGGTCTGTGTGTGTGACTGTGTGTGAGTGTGTGTGTGTGTGTGAGTGTCCATGTCAGCCTGTGAGTGTGGCCTTGTGTGTGTGCCTGTGGACAGGTGACCTGTGTCCCTCAACCATCACCGTGAGTCTCATTTAATAAAGGACTCAGTCCCAGACTCAGATGAATGAAATCTCACCTACCGCTCACCTGGAGACACCACGCAGGTCGCTTTGCTCTGCGGCCTGCTCTTTGGATGGAGATAGACCTGCCAACCTCAGAGGGCTGCTGTGCGGATCCAGTGACATCCTGCACGTCCCGCACTCACTGTTAGCGCCGCATTACCCACGCACACGCACGCTCATGCAATACCGAAGCACCGGCTTGTTCACTTTCCACTGTTAGCCCCGGGCCCCCCGACCTCCACGCTGTCACACTCACAGGTCTTTGGTTGAACAGTCTGTCTCTGTGCTGCGCTGAGTCCCCTGTGTTTGGCGGATCCCACAGATGTATTCTTTGCGCCTTTGGCAGCCCTCTCGTATCAGAAAGCTTCAAGCTCCTCTCCCCTTTCTCATAATATTGACTGGTGTTGACAATGGCCAGCCCAGAAAGGATGATCAATGTTTGTCTTGCAGCCGTGACCGGGATGACCTCGGCAGTTTACAGTGTGGCCCGGAGCGTCTTGGTGGCCGCCATGCTCCACGCCCTCTGTTTCAGCGCCGTGAAGGTAGGTGCGAGGGCGCTGACCCCGTCATTCTTTTCACCCTCATTCAATCAACGCATTTTTTTTTTAAGTAAACTAATGATTTCTCGAGTTACAAAAGAACTGGGGAGAGAGTGA